TATGTAACCGTGAAGTCTGGTATGTGGGTACCAAAGTTTCGGAGGAACATACTTCTTTCATGTTCAGGGTAACAGACAAGGGCAATTGGTTCCATCTTCACGGCAGAATGTGGGCACTAATGCTGGTACCTACTACCAGACTACACAGTGTCATAAGCCAAGAAACCACAATATGTATAGTCACCACTGTGAAGACCTCATACCTTACACCACGTACTATAATAAATAGTGATTATTATTATTATTATTATTATTAAATTTGCATGTAAATAAACACGAATTGAATTATTATTATTATTATAAGGGAAAGACAGAGTTATCCCTGCAACAGGCCGTGGAGGCCCATAGAGTTGTGAGACGTCGAGGCTCCCACATTTTCTAGAAAATCGGCTAACAGATGGAGGTAAGGTTGTCAGCCTTATGCGCCGGCCGCCCTTTACGCCCCCAGGAAGATTCCTGGTACTCATTTATGTCAGAGGTTGAATCAACCCCAGAGCCATANCCTACTACCAGACTACACAGTGTCATAAGCCAAGAAACCACAATATGTATAGTCACCACTGTGAAGACCTCATACCTTACACCACGTACTATAATAAATAGTGATTATTATTATTATTATTATTATTAAATTTGCATGTAAATAAACACGAATTGAATTATTATTATTATTATAAGGGAAAGACAGAGTTATCCCTGCAACAGGCCGTGGAGGCCCATAGAGTTGTGAGACGTCGAGGCTCCCACATTTTCTAGAAAATCGGCTAACAGATGGAGGTAAGGTTGTCAGCCTTATGCGCCGGCCGCCCTTTACGCCCCCAGGAAGATTCCTGGTACTCATTTATGTCAGAGGTTGAATCAACCCCAGAGCCATAGTGCGGCTTAAAGGATTAGGTAAACTGAAAAAATCCAATGACCTCATCGAGAATCGAACCCGCGACATTCTGGGTTTATTATTATTGTTATTAAAGTAAAGTGATTGGCTGTAGGCTGAATGATCGGGGTTTGATTCCCGCCAGAGCTAGGGTTTTACTTTGCCCTGAAATCCAAACAGCTCTGAGGCCAACCGGAGTTCTATTCTTCTAAAGCAAAGCGGCCGTAGCGTTAAACTAACCACTTACATCCATCTAGTGACAAGGTGAGGCTTTACTCCGACTTCCCCTACACGACAAAAAAAAGGGTGGGTAGAGGCAGTCCTGTACATGGAGGTGCTGAAGACAAGGTACGAGTAGAAGGAATGCCCAGTTACATTTCTGAACGCACGCCATACGCAACCCATGTGGCATAATAACCACCACCTTATTCACTGCTCAATATTTTGGTTTCTGGGAAGTATGAAAGACAGGTCTGCTTGGATTTACAGCTCTTCATACGAATTATAAAAAACGCCACGTTCGACTCTCCTCTGATTTGGAAACGCTGTCATCTTCGAAACGCGATTCGATTCTGTCGCGAGTTAACGGCCCCCGTTATGCAGCGTTTAATGTGGTACAATAAAGCAAATTCTGCTGTGAGAATTTTTTTGAAGACGTACGTCATTTTTATGGTACTGTCCCGGCATTTATCTGCAGAAACTGAGTAAAACCACTAAGAGGAAAGCCTGTAACCCAGCCGTGATTCAAACCAGGTACATCTCCAATACAGCTGCACCAACCCACCGAGCAAGCTGGTGCAGCGGTACCGCCCTACGGTTATATTCATCAAATTCTCGGTTCGAATCTCGGAAGGGACAACTCTTAGAGTGGGCCACGATCACTTCCTTACAGATACTTTCCAATTCATCATCTATCGGTCATCCGATCCTACATACTGACGGCTTCGTATATTAAACCAAAACAAATCATCAACCTGCTTAGGCTGGGGCCACATGAGCCCACGAAGTACGTCCGTTGCAACAAACGTACTTTATGACGGACGTTGCTGAGGACACCACACAGTTCCAGAATGCGGTGCGTAGTTTTTTGTCTGCAATGGAGCCAGAAGAAAGCGTAGCATTCGCCTCTCTTGTTTAATTCTACAATGGACGTCACGACGTTCGTTACAACGGACGCATTTTGTGCGCTCGTGTGGCCCCAGCCTTAATGTAGGCAAAATCGTATCCTTCCCAGTCCCTTCTGAATCACCATGAATAATCTAGACGCATCGTAATTTCGATAAAAGAAAGGTGTGCGAATGAAAAGCAGAAACCGGTCCTGAAACAGTCACGCGCATGAGCGCACTGGGAAGTACCTGTGTTACGTTGCTGTAATCCGGCAGCAGCGCGGTAGTAACACGCTGACGTGTTGCGAGTCATTATAATTCGTCAAACGGGGAACAGTGTCAGATCCACAGCCTATCAAATGCAGGAGTCTGTAAAAACCCTTGTACAAGAAGAAGAGCACGGTTACACAGCACAAGTTTTCGTGAACACGCTATTTTGTTTAAATCGGTTATGCTATCAACAAAAATTACGGTCATAACGTACATACCACCTAACTACACTATCTGAAAAAAAATACATTACTTAGTTGAGAATATATTTTCATTCGCTAATAAAATATTTTCTCACTTTATGGTTTGACAGCAATTACTTACTTACTTATGGAGCTCAGCCCGTCTTGGGGAGCCGCCAATTCTGCAGCTACTCAAGAACTTCCCAGCATTTTATGGAACCCGAAGGTCCATTATCGTGTTCACAAGAGCCCTCCACTGGCCCCTATCCTGAGCCAGATCTATCCAATCCATACCATCCAATCCTATATCTCTAAGATCCATTTTAATATTGTCCACGCACCTACGCCTTGGTCTTCCCAATGGTCTGTTTCCTTCTGTCTTTCCCACCAATATCCTATACGCATTCCTCTTCTGCCCCATTCGTGCTATATGCCCTGCCCACCTCATCCTCCTGGATTTAATCATTCTAATTACACTTTGTAAAGAGTACAAGTTACGAAACTCCTCATTATGCATTGTTCTCCAATCTCCCGTCACTTCATCTCACTTCAATGCAAATATCCTCAACACCCTGTTATCAAACACCTTCAGTCTATGTTCCTCCCTTCAGCAATTATAACAGACATATTAAGAAAAATAAGAAAGTAATTAAGGTTCAAAATTCAGCCAACAAAACTGTGACGTGATGGAAAACAGGTGTGTCTGGATTTGGAATCAGCATATCAGAATTCAGTTATGAAAGTTAGTTTTCCGTTATCTTGTTGGCTAATGCAATTATCCAGATGCATTCTTAACGAGTTCGCATTCCTCCTTAATCTTCTGTTATGCAACTTTGTGCCTTTCAACTGCACAATAAATTATCGCGAATTATACATTAGAAAGAATCTGGAAGCAAGCGGCAGTGGATCTTTATGGTACCTTGAATTTGCCATACGTAAATAGGGAGTAGCACGATGCATGCCTGCGAGCCCCCAAGACATGAATCAGGACCATTATGTATATTTTATACTGACATCCTAGTCCGTGGCCTGGAGTGAATAAGGGAACTACGAGAATATTCCTATCAAGAAACTGGATATCCGGTATAGTAACAGGGCCCCAAACATATTTAATGGCACAACAGTAACCCCATATTTACGTGGAGTAATGGAGGTAAAACCACGAAAAAATACCAAGATATGGTTTTCCGGGAAAGAAACCCAAACCAGAACTTTCAGGGCATCAACTGATGTGTTTCATCTCTCGCCAGTCTGCCACTCAACAGTTCGATGGGGCTTCTGTACCCGCGGAAGTTTCCGTAAACATGGACCTGCTCCCAACAGTCTCCACACATTCAATGATTTAACCGCAACTCAAGTGGACTGCGTTCTGGTTTGGTCACCTTTGGTATTTTATTGCTTATGCGGCTATGCATTCCGCACTACATCCGGCCAGTCAATAAATATACTCAAAAGAAAACTAAACTCGTGTTAAGTTACTTAACATTTCCATACTAGACTTCGTACAATATTATAAACAATCCAATAAAATCTGAACATGACGTGCACTTGCGTTAACAGCCATAACTTCCTGTATGATACAAGCAATCAAAACTCCATGAAGAAGTCACTGTACAACAATCAGTTTCCGGATCTATAGGTGCATTCATGAATAACAAGTTGCAGAAGGAATTTTCACTCACTGAGTTTCGTTATTTAACAACGTCGTTACAACCGATACTTTACATAACGTCGAACGAGGTGGGAAGTGTTCAGTATCCTTACAAGCTGTGATCCATTCACTTAACGTCGCAAATGCTTTGTCACTATTTTTTAGTGGCAACCTTCTCCAGTTATATGAAGTTCTCAAGACGGCGAGCAAACAAAATTACGGTCATTTGCGATGTGACACCGGTTAGTTTGGAACCTACTACCTTACTTTTCCTATTTGTAAAAAAATAAAAAAAGGAAGCTTATGATATCACCTTGCTGTCTGTGCATCCGTCTCCCCCGCCCCGATCTTGCTGCCTATCTGCTTGTGTATCCCGTCCTAAATTTTGCTGAGGCTTACGAAATCGCCTTCCCCAAATTTCTTGTTTTCTATGCCGTCCTTGTCATGTCAAATTGGACTAATAGTTCTTCTCAGAACTTGCTGCTTCACAGTGCATGCTTCTCCAATTCGCATGTCTCAAGTTACTTCAGACTGGTTTAGTTCTATCGAAGCCAAGATATATGTCATGATGCTGTCAGGTAAAGTAAACGTAAATAAAAACATGACTGTGGCAAACTGTGGTAATGATGTGTACCAGATGTAAAACACGGTGTAAACCGCTTCACTGAAGCGAAGTTACCGATTTAGAATGAAAGTGTAGTGGTCATTTTGAATATAATATTCTAGCTTTCGAATTCACAGACTAAGTAAAACCACGAAGAGAGTCGGTAATCTTGGCCACACTGCAAACCTGCCGAATTCGGGTTCAGAGAGTTGCCGGTTCTATCAACTCGTTTGTCACAAATACTATGTATCAGTCACAATTTCTCAAAGGGTACTGAATCTTTCATATAAAGTAGTAATTAATCTAGACCAACCTGAAATCCAATTCTACACGTTGCTGTTTGAGGCTTTGCTTCCTGGTGATATGATTTCACAACACTTTTATGTCCCGAAAATTGGCGCGTTGAGAGGCACAGCGAAGCCTCGCGCGCAAACACTAGTTCAAGCTTCCACCACAACACACACACTACTACACCGTACAACGCTCTCTGACGACGAGCCAGCCGCGTGCAATACGACTACATAGGGGCTGTGGAGGGGAGAGACTGAGCGTGACATCACTCCCTGTTAGCCAATCGCGGTACAACTCTCATGATGTCACCAGCATCAACCAGTGATGGATCCCCAGCAGCGAGCATGGTTAGCAGAGAAACTGGGAGGGGAAGAATTGATTGGACTCAACAGGCAAGGGATATGCTCCAGAAGCGGGATTTATAAACACGCTACTGAACCTTCGGGTTTCATAAAAGTGGGAATTTCTTTACGGACTGTGCAGCTGCTCCAAAGACCGCGCAACATGGAGTCATAATTAACCCCGAAATCACTAATATATCTCGTGACCGCTGGGCCAATCCCGAATACATTAGTTCGCTTTCATCGCAGTGAGAACGCCAAAACTCAGGCCGTTATAAATATCGTTCTAAACGATGTGCCGACGTAAAGAAAGCAGTCATATAAACAATATCAAGTAAAACAAACTCAAAAGAACATCCCTGAGAGTTTTCAGTATATTACCAACCAGGGCTCAGCTCTGGACTAAACTAAACTTAACTAATTAACCACTAAGCCATGAAGGCGTATGGGGAGTGGATGTATAGACCCACGTTTCGGGACAGTCTTTAAAATAATTGCTAAATAAAATGTAACGCTTGTTGTTGACACACTATTCCTGCAATTATTCAGTAATGACACGTTTCTAAGCACAGGGCTTCTCACCAGTGTCTAAAATCAAGTCATTATGGAAACTGTAAACACGTTGGATAGGAATTCCAGTCATTGGCCTAAGAAGAAGTGGATTGAGCCTGAGAAATTGGAGTACAAAGACCTGAGTGTTCTCAGGGAAACATCGGAGAGAATGCGCTGCGCACGACAGCAGTGAAAAACGTTCAAATTTAAAATAAAAGAAATGAATACGCAGTTTCTCTGCTTTCATTTTTCTTGTAGTAGACGAACCAGAAGAAAGGAACGGGTCTAAGTTAGAAGTGGACGAAACTGGTTTAGGATCGTGTCCAAATATAATCTTGAAAGTGTAAGTCCAACTAGCAGAATATTCGCCGGTTAATATTCATTTAAAATTATTTATAAGATAAGGAAATAAGATGTGAGTGTATTTGAATGTACAACACAAACTTCCAAAACTCCTTTCCAGAATCGCGGTTTGCAAATTTGAAAAGACATGAATAACCAAGCAACATTTTTAACTAATCTTTGTTGCTTCTTCTTTCAAACTATTGTAGTTATTCAGTTGGTTAAGAAACTCCATGATTTTATGTAACCCGAATGTTCATGGCAGTATTCACAAAAGCCCACCGTTAGGCTATACGAGTATTCCTAACCAGTTTAATGTTAGATATGACTCTTTTTAAGACGCATATGAAAGATTCCCTATATATTTATGACAATGGTTGAATGATTAAAAAAACAGTGTATGTGTCTAGTGTGAGGTTATAACCTACAGGATGTCTGAGTAGCTGGTTTTATGTGCACCTTCACGTGAGTAAAACCGTAATTTCGTGTAGTTGTCTAGTGGTGAGAGCTCCGGGATACAGATCCAGAGGTCCCGGGTTCGATTCTCGGGACTACCAGACTTTTTGAGAAGTAGTGGGTCTGGAACGGGGTCCACTCAGCCCCATGAGGATAACTGAGGAGCTATTTCAAGGAAATAGCGGCTCCGGTCTAGAAAACCGAAATTAACGACCGTGGGGATCCGTTGCGCTGACCACTCGACACCCTCTATCCACAAAAGTTGACACTAACTTCACCGACAAGCGGCGGTCGCTCGGTTGGTATAGTTCGCTTGCGGACTAAAGGCCACGGAGTTATATGGTCTATGATAACATCCCTCAGACAAATGGAAACTAACCAACATAATAATCATAAAACGTATTTTGAAATTGAAGAATTTATTTATGGAATATGACACCATGTAGACTTGTAGAATTTTCTGACGTTTCGGAGGAACATATTGCTTCTTCTTCAGGATCGAAGAGTAAACGAAGCAGCAAACAGAACATCCCATCTACTTCTGCGTCACAAGAGGCTTCTTCCTTTGAGGATTTCAGAATATGCCTATTTTTAACTTAGCGAAGTTATGATTACGCCAGACGGTCTGATGTCTAGGAACATGAGGTTTCTGAATCACTTTTCTAATTTTTTTTATTGCTAGTGGGATGGGACTAAGTCCCTTGTACTGCGGCCACTCCTGGCCTATTGTACCAGCCCCAGATGATAGATGAGGGTGATTGCGGAGCAATTGGTGGAATGAAGATTGGCAGGGGAAACCGAAGTACTCGGAGAAAACCTGCCCCAGAGCCACTTTGTCTACCACAAATCCCACTTGACCAGACCCGGGATCGAACCCGGGCCGCCGCGGTGGGAAGCCAGCGACTAACCGCTTGAGCTATGGCACGACCTTTTCTAATTGTTACTGTAGACACAGGCTCTTAGGATAACTGAATATGAATAAAATATGAAAGGACTTCCGATTCGAATAATCACAAAATTTAGATACCTTTTTCTTTTTTGGACGACCATAGGACCCTGGAGTGAGTGCGTCACTATGCCCCCCGCTTGATCCGGCATAAATCATGACTCTCTTCTATCCCTGNTATGAAAGGACTTCCGATTCGAATAAATCACAAAATTTAGATACTTTTTTCTTTTTTGGACGACCATAGAACCCTGGAGCGAGTGCGTCACTACGCCCCCCGCTTGATCCGGCATAAATCATGACTCTCTTCTATCCCTGGGTAAGTCGCACAAGTGGACTGAGTTACACTGCGGCGGTACCTGCTTGCTGAAGAGACCAGCAGTTAGGATGCCAGGCTACTTGTTTTGCTGTCATACCTCGGTAACCAGACATACTGCATTGTACTTCACAGGAAGTACAGTCGCCTCGGGTTTTCTGTACACTCGCTCTAAACACGTAAAATAAATTTACATATCGGCAGACCCAGCAAATAATTTTATCTTATCCAGGAGTATGGATGGCGAGAGAATAGAGTCAGACCCTTGGCGAAGTTTAGTTAACACACTGAACGGAGGGGAGCCCTTGAGAAGCTAACAGTCGTTAAACATGTCAAGAAATTACTTGCCTTTTATGTAATCCTAAGGTTTACGTATTTTCGTCTTCGTAATATCCCACTTCTCGATTATTTCTGAACCATTTAAATACAGTACACACAGTAGATAATATTCGTTTCAATATTGTCCTTCCATCTATATCTGGGTCACCCAGCTTGTTTTTTTTTACTTCAGACTTCATGATAACAATCATTTTGTACTTTCCTATGCACTAAGTTTCAGAACAGCTGCTTCCCTAACGTCTGTGTTTTTGTTTTTCGTATTTATATTTTTGTCCAGTAAGAAAACCTGCCCCCTCGTTGGTGGCTCCACCTTATCGTGGTGAGGGGGTTTGAGTATGCCAAGGACCCTGAGAGCTATACCAGCGGTAGCGTAGCTACTGGCAGGGCCTCCCTTGCTGGACAGGTCAAAGGGTAGGCATCAGACGAAGAGAGACACCAAAAACTGATGCCGGAAGCAGCGTCATCAGCAGCGACCAGAAGGACAGAGCAAATGATGCTCGAGTTCGTATGGTTCAAGTTCGTATAGCAACAGGCGTGACCAGAGTGGTTTGAACGGCTGTTGTACTGCGATGTGGAAAGCAAATGGAAAAACTACCACATTATCACTTTTCCTGGATAGTCTCTTTCCAAAACCAGAGATACCATGTATGCGAGATGTTTCATTTGAAGGAGAAAGCTCTAGATCGCATCAAGTGGAGGAATTGTTTTGAAGAGACTGTGGACCTGTCGTCTTGACAGATTACTGATGAATGAATGAAGAAAACCTGATGTTTTCCACTCCATTTTAGTGCCCGATCCTTTCCGGACCTTTATATGTGTGTATTTTGAAGGAAACTTCGAGGTGCATGGCGAGATAACAGTTCTCTTTCAGACAGTTCGGACAAATATATACTTACATGGACGACTTAACTATAGGATTTGTTTCAATGCGTTTTGAATATCCTAATTAGCTTAGCCGGCGTATAAAAGTCAACAACGATTATGTCCGATAATTCCACCCTGAGTCCCTGTTACCACGGCATGGCGCGTCCTCAGGTTGCGGGCGTTAGGTGGGTCCCCTGTCACTACGGCATGGAGCGTCCTCAGGTTGTGGATATTAGGTGGGTCCCTTGTCACCACGGCATGGAGCATCCTCAGGTTGTGGATATTAGGTGGGTCCCTTGTCACCACGGCAAGGCGCGTCCTCAGGTTGGGGATCTTAGGTGGGTCTCTGTCACCACGGCATGGCGCGTCCTCAGGTTGCGGGCGTTAGGTGGGTCCCTTGTCACCACAGCAAGGCGCGTCCTCAGGTTGTGGATATTAGGTGGGTCCCTTGTCACCACGGCATTGAGCATCCTCAGGTTGTGGATATTAGGTGGGTCCCTTGTCACCACGGCAAGGCGCGTCCTCAGGTTGGGGATCTTAGGTGGGTCTCTGTCACCACGGCATGGCGCCTCCTCAGGTTGTGGATATTAGGTGGGTCCCTTGTCACCATGGCAAGGAGCGTCCTCAGGTTGGGGATCTTAGGTGGGTCTCTGTCACCACGGCATGGCGCGCCCTCAGGTTGCGGGACAGATCTCTGGATCTGTAGCCACCAATAGAACACAGAGGCGGTGAGGACAGATCCTGTACTGGTAGTTAACACTACAGAAACAGAGGAAATAAAAGTGTAGGTTGTATGGTCGAGCTTGAATATTTCCACAGCTAGGGGAGTTTCTCCCAGTATTGCGTACAGAACCGGAAACTGTGGCAGTCCTACCTAAACCACCCTCGTCACCATGTGTCTTGCATAACGGAAGTTACAAGGGACCCACCTTCCGAGCGAAATCTGCAAACAGCAGGCAGAACGGAAGTGCAAGGTCGTGGAGCAAAGATTGCGGAACCCAGATATGGAAACTTTGGCGCTGAGATGCATGTAGCA